TATCGATGGTCGTGCCCCGTGCGAAAAACTTACATGTCTTTAAGAAAATTTCTCTAACGATGCTAAGACAACAGGCATGGTAAAAACTAGAAAAAGTAAAATTATAATTATAGGTATAGTTAAATAATTTTTTTCTGACATCAGTAATTATACAAAGTTGTTAATTTCGCCTTGAAATTTCATTGTGCTATTGTATTACATACTGTATTAGATTGTTTTCAGTACCCTCAAGCCAATCATAAGAAAGTTTTCTCTTTCAAATGTTTAGGGATATATAGCAAATGCCAGGGTGAAACATCATTCATTAATGTATCTTACTATATTAAACTATATACTAGAATTAATGAAAATGTAAGTATCGAAAATACACACATTTAAAATGTCATTTGAATTGGGTACTAAATATTCGAGTTGATTGATTTTTTTCTCCGTACTATAACTGCTGCACCATCCAAAAAGCTGCATAAAAACACTTTTGAATGTTATGCAGATTTTTGAAAGTTACGGATATGTATAAAATATGATGCAGGTACGGAAGTAAGCCTAACGCTATGGTCGAGATGCGAGACTTTTGTTCAAGATCGTACAATTTTTCACAAACAAAGAAGCAAATGAGTTTCGAAATATAAAGCGAGGCGCGCACAACGCGGCAAAAGAGATTTACGGGCAGAAGATGACCGCGTGCGTTTGCGAAGAATTAAAATAGCCTGACAAATGAATCGTTTTCTTCACAAACGCTGCGGATTTTCCGATACGTGTTTCCCAGAGAGAATCGAAGAAAATCTAAAATACAATTTGCATTCTTTTGATTTATACTCGGAGAGATTGTGAATAAAAGAGAGTCGATAAGTGCGTGCGCTGAATTTATATCTGTGACGTTGTGATAAAGTACTTACAATTTTACGTAAAAATCGATACTAATTTTCAGTATCTATCAAATTTCTAGACATGTTTGCTCAGTTTAGTTTTGACATAATGGTACATCAAAACATAACGTATAACATTACTGAAAAGCATTAATAAGATGTAATATACATTAATTTATGAAACTCAATGTATAAATTCTTCGATAGAAATGACCGTGGTTATTTAATATGCACATTATATCCATGCTACAATTCTAACTAATTAAACGAAAGCATCAATCATCCAATGAAATTAGAAATATACAGCCTTGACGAAATAAATTATTCCAGAAAGATCCAAAGCTCAATGAAAAGTTCAAGACAATTAAGATGGCGAAAACGAAAACTATACCAGTGATGCAGCTCAATGGTTCGATAAAAAAATATCCGCTATTAACCGCCTCCACCGTACGGAGCTTGTACTTTTCACATGTTAGGCACACCATCAGCTCGAACACGTCTCGTACTAAATTGCCGTGGTATTATAGTTGACCGCCTTTTACGCCTGCAACTCTTTTTGCGACAGGTATCCGTACGGATGAGTTGAAATCGAGTTAAGGCCATAAGTAGGATGTTTGGCACGCGTCGTCTTCGTACGAGAGCCATGGCAGAGGGTTTCAGATAGGTGCTTCACACACGAAGTTGCGTGTAATATAAATTTACGCGCGGATGCGTGACACGCGCGAGGATCGATAGGCTGTCACGGATTGAAGATGATGGATGAATGTAATACTTCGATGAGTGTTACATTATTGGATTATTACGAAACCCGCGCGCAAGTACGAGTGCAGGTACGATTTTTAACTGCTGACGATTTAATCGCAAAGAAAGATATGACCGGCTAACTTATACAGAGTGTAAGTGTGTGTAGAAAATCAAGATTAATGACTGGATTCGAGTTTTCGAGTCGTACGTAATTATCCAAATGTGCATATTGCACGGGTAGAGCATAAACGCGAGACACGAGAAGAAGATTCCGAAAATTGATCTTTGTGGTATCGACGATGCTCAGCAAATATTAAAAATTGAACAATCATATTCACGAGACTTGCGAAAATGCATCTTTGTTATTAACAAAAAGAAGAATTTCTGCGCATTATTGTTGTTATTATCATTTTCTCTGTCGAGCTAGCGATAGTGTATATCTGTGTATCTGTTCATACGTGTTCGGTGTATAAGATGATGATGATGCGATGCGAACGTGTTAAAGTGATTATGAAATAGATTGCAATTAAGCCACACTTGAGACAAACGTGCAATGTAATATACTGGAAAAATTATCCAATTATCTTATATACTAGACAAGGCAGCGATGTATACATATGGATGCACGTGAGTATTATTTAGGTTGTAAAGTCGCAGACACATTTATTGTACTCGTTTATAGAATTGACCACGTTCAATCTCATTAAGAATAAAAAAAGATCATAGGGATACAAAAGAGTTTGGAAAATCATCAAATTAAATTACAAAAAAAAAACTTAATTTTTTTCTAAGAGTCGAAAAAATGTAGAAAAAATAAAAAATGAAAGAGTATTTGCCGAAGTATCCAAGGCAGAAACGTGCATGTGCATAGGCGCGCGTTGCATTGTACATACTTTCCTCAGACTCTCGATTGTATCGCCTCTTTGCTCTCTTGATCTTCTGCGCAAGCTACTGAGTGCCACACACGGTCTATCTTTCTCTGTAAATATAGTTTCTTGCGAGATCACAGCCCCCGCTTCGAGACGACGATGATGAGCGCACATATCAAACGAAGCGTGTATAAATTGCATCCATTCCCACACAAAATCACACACACGCACGCATACGCATGATACACAACCGCAAAAGTATCTATAAAGCACGTGTATTTTAGATCTAAAATCAAAGTAGCGAGAGATCAATGCAGGCTCGAGAAAACTATTCGCGATGTCTCTGCGCCTAGCCATATGACGAGTAAAGATCGAACGACGGAAACAAAAACTATACGTATGCATATAACGGCGCCGAGGCTCGCGCGCTGCACACTGCACAGCTGATGCAACGATCGTGAATGTCGTTAGCTGCCCCGATTGTGGTGGATCCTTGTTTAACCGCAATATCTCACCGACGCGAACTCTATTCATGTTTAAATAATGTATGCTTCCGACTTGACCTACTTGCCTGTTTATTACAATATTTTTCATGCAGATTTTTGTGTAACGCCGAGCAAGTGCGCGCGGCTCGTTTTTACTATTTTTTCTCTTTGTTTCGAGCGTAAGGCTCGCATTTGTGTAAAAAATATGAGATTCGAGATCGATTAAGTTGTCATTTAAAGGATGCATACTTTCACGTAACTGTTTTTCTTTTATGCACAAGTATGCAGGTTTTTCATTACTGCATCGATCGTAATCTTTCTCATAAATTTTATTACAATTTACGCGATGAAATTTCAACAATCATTCAACGCAAATAATTACTTCACTCACACAATTTCAATTAAAATTAAATATAATCGCGACCTTAAGAACTGTTGAATTCTCCTTCTGAACCAGTTGAATTTTATGGAGTGTGCGAAATTTCACACCGATTCATAAGAAAAAAAATCGGGGATTCGTTTCGGAACTGCGAGCATTCAACGCAAATTTCGGGATTGATTAGATACTCATCACACACACACACACACACACATACACAATAAAAATTTTGCAATAATCAAACTAGCGTGTGCGCGCGCGCGTGTGTAAATAATTCGTGGCGCCTCGAGTCACGGCAAAGTTCGCGTTCACGTCAATACGATTAACGTATTACTTAAGAATTGCGTGCGTGTGTGCGAGCCGTGCATCGTGCCCGTACCCGCCCTGTACAAATCATTGGGAGAGGAATCCATTGCGCTCGACAGGAATTATGAGCGGTTCTCTACATACATAACATAACGTCGAGCAATTTGCTATTGCAAGTTTTATATTTTCCTCACTCGCGCGAAGTACATAATTAGAGAATCATAGAGGATGCTGCTGCTGCTACTGCTACTTGCGCCTAGCCCAAAGTATTGCGCGCATCATCCATGCACCGCTCGCTCGCTGCTGCGGTCGTAAGAATGTGCATCAATCTCGCGCCTACAGTCGTGACATTGCGTGCCTTTACATGGGTTTCTTCGTAATTTTTGCATTATACCGTGAGTCCTCTGTCTGGTGTGGATTTTTCTTCATTTATTACGACTTCGGACGCATGTAAACTAATTACATCGGTGACCTTGATGATGATGTCAAGTTGTTTGAACAAAAAAAGGAGAGAGAAAAATAACAATAAATGGATGATATAGCTGAAATTATTGAAAATCGAATTGAGATTAAAAATAGGCTCCAAAATTGAATGGCACATGACTTGCAGAGGTGTTTTCTTTATTTCGCGTATAAAATATACATAATGGCATTCCACACTGAAGTCTTAAACCATTTATTTATGAATTATAAATTGTATAAAATCATTAAAAGAGTATACGTAATGTACTGGCTAAATTATAAAAAATATACTCCTATGAGAGAACGAGCTAATGCTTGAATTGAAATTATCTTTTCCATTTCTTCACAGAATGAAAATGTAACATTATTTACAATTTCTCCATAAAACTCGGTGAATAATGATCACGTTGCCTCGTTCTAGCGTTATGTAATTCATTGATGGTGATATTAATGATGGTAACTTTTCGTAAAAAATTATGAATGTAAATAAGCATTAATAATACTTATAAAATTAGAAAAAAATGATTATTCGTTTTGTTTAATAAAACGGAATGATCATTTTTATCTTTAAGTTTTTTGAAAGTTATTTCGGTAACTTTGTTAGCGTAACTTAAACTTAAAAAATTACACGATTTTATAAAATCAAGTACTATAATTTTGAAATACTTCATGCAGTTTTATCGAGTAAATAGTCTGTTCATTCAAGTCAATTCATGATTACAAACCGCAATGAATTCTATCGATTTCTATGAAGGCTGGCGCATTTTTTTCTACATCGCACAACACTCAACTTAATAGGTAAAAAAGTGTATTTACAGTAATTGTATATTAGCTTTGAGAGCATCTTCAATCATATTATAGACATTCATTACTTCTTAGTTATGTTGACTCAACCAGCACGAGGTGGCAGGTATTCACGGTCTGGTTTCGAAGGGCCTTGTGAAGGGAAAGGTGTATCAGAAGGTCCAGGTCTTCCACTTGGGAAGGCAGGACCACTCGGTTGGCCACTTGGATAACCTTCCTCGCCACCTCCTGGTTGTTGAGAAGGTCCTTGTGGTCTTCCTCCGCTTGGGTAAGATGGTTGCTGTGCCCCTGGATATCCACCAGGTCCACCAGGCGATTGAGGTCTACCACTACTTGGGTAACCGGTTGATGGACCTCCAAATTCTTCATTTCCTCTAGGATAGTCACCACTTCCACTTGAAGGATAACCTCCTGGACCATCAGTTTGAGGGCCCTGAGGACTACCTGGTCTGCTTGGTCCGCTTGGTCCGCTTGGTCCGTTTGGTCCGCTCGGACCACTTGGATATCCACCAGGCCCGCTAGGACCACTTGGATATGCTCCTGGGCCTGTAGGTCCACTTGGTCCACTAGGACCACTTGGGTATCCACCTGGTCCACTAGGGCCACTGGGGAATCCACCCGGTCCACTTGGGCCACTTGGAAATCCGCCAGGTCCACTAGGGCCACTGGGGAATCCACCTGGCCCACTTGGGCCACTTGGGAATCCACCCGGTCCGTTAGGGCCACTTGGGAATCCACCTGGTCCACTAGGACCACTTGGGAATCCACCCGGTCCTCCAGGGCCACTTGGACCACCTGATCCTGGTTGACTACTTCCACCGGAGTAATTTGGACCTTGCGGTCCCTGGGGTCTTGGTTGATTTCCTTGAGGTCCTTGTTGCTGACTTCCCATTATCGTATAATCATAAAGATTCTCATTCACATAAAATAAACTAGGTGCTGAACTACAATCGAACTGATTCCACCACACGCAAACCAAGTACTGCTGATGGAATATCGTACCATTCGGACATAGGAAATCGTATGTCTGATTGTTTGCACATATGTGGAATACTTGGCACTGGGTTTCAACATCTGCATAATAACCAGGATACTGTTGAGCATCGCATCTGAAACTCGTTTCCGGAATTTCAGAGAGAATTGGGTAATCACGTCCAGGTTCACCGGGTATAGCAGAATAATCGCCATCGTCATATGAGCCGTCATCACTACCACCACTTGAACCACCTTGATTTCCACTTGGGAAGCCACTAGATGGTCTCTGTCCACCACTAGGAAAGCCGCCCGAGGGACCTTGCCCACCGCTTGGAAAACCTTCTGAAGGTCCTTGGCCTCCACTGGGGAAACCACCAGAGGGTCCTTGTCCACCGCTTGGAAATCCTCCAGAAGGTCCCTGGCCTCCACTAGGAAAGCCACCTGTAGGTCCTTGTCCACCACTTGGAAAGCCTCCTGATGGTCCCTGACCTCCAGTAGGGAAGCCACCAGAGGGTCCTTGTCCACCACTAGGGAAGCTACCAGAGGGTCCTTGTCCTCCGCTAGGGTAACCTCCTGAAGGTCCCTGGCCTCCACTAGGGAAGCCACCAGAAGGTCCTTGTCCACCACTAGGATATCCACTGGAAGGTCCTTGTCCACTACTAGGATATCCACCGGAAGGACCTTGTCCACCACTTGGAAAACCTCCTGGTGAACTTGGTCTGCCACTAGGATAACCACCAGACGGACCTTGACCACCACTAGGGAAACCACCGGATGGACCTTGTCCACCACTAGGATAACCTCCAGCTGGTCCCTGGGCTCCATTAGGATAACCACTCGAGGGACCCTGTCCACCGCTAGGATAGCCAGCTGATGGTCTTTGTCCTCCACTTGGAAAACCTCCAGTCGGTCTTGATTCGTCAGATGGAAATTCTGTAGAAGGCCTACCACTAGGATATCCGCCTGATGGACCTTGACCTCCAGATGGACCTTGGTTAGTTGGCCTTTGTGATGGTCCTTGGTTGGAACTTCCAGGATAATTTTGGTTATCTAGAACATAATCATTGTTGTGAAGACATTATATGAAAATATGAGAAACACTTTCAATTTATGTCATTTTAATTGAAACAACTTTTTCTTTTTTGCATATAATTTTTGGTTAATAAAAAATTAAGTATCAGAAATTTCTGTACGTTCATCTCATTACTTTCTGCATATTATTAATTATCTCATTTTTCCAATTTGATTATTGAAGCATCGTTGTTATCATTTTTTATTATATCGTCGCCCAGCGCAGGAAGGTATCTATTCCAATTCTGTAGCAAGAAGGATACTTACTCGCGCGCAGAGGCAAAAAGGTATCTAACTCGAGCGCAGCGGCAAAAAGGTATATATTTCGAGCGTCGAAGCAAAAAAGTAGCTTATTCAAACGAAATGGCACGAAAGTTTTGACGCGCCGAATTTAGGTTGACAACGGAGCCGTAAATGATAAAATTTCGTTTCAACATTTAATTCAAAGTTATGTAAAGCCGATAACTTCTACTTTCCTCTCAGAACATACAAAGTTCTCCATAAGTGGCAAATTGAGTCGAAATCGCGGTGAGATTGATTTGTTTGCTCGCATTACAAATGGATGAAAATCATTACACTAGCTCACTTGTTTTTTCTCTTTTTTGCTCTAATACAAAACAAAATTATCATTTACGGCTGCGATGCCAACCTAAATTCAGCGCGTCAAAACTTTCTTGCCACTTCGTTTGAATAAGCTACTTTTTTGCTTCTACGCTTGAATTAGATACCTTTTTGCCGCTGCGCTCGAGTTAGATACCTTTTTGCCTCTGCGCGCGAGTAAGAATCCTTCTTGCTACAGAATTGGAATAGATACCTTCCTGCGTTGGGGCGACGATATGATGTGAAAATATTAAAAAATTTACCCGAATACTGAATTGAAGGGGTCTGAGTACCTGGTCTCTGGCTCGGATAACCACCCGAGGGTCCTTGAGGCTCAAATGGAGGGGCTGGTCCAGGATACTCATCATCTGTCGACGGGGTTTGTCCTGAAATTGTAAAGTATTCATTTTGGTTGTAATATAATTCAATATATGCTTAATATAAATTAAAAATTGCAGTGTTTCATACATTTTTCTAAGAAACAAAAAGCATTGCTCTTTTTTATTCATTGCAATAATTATTACGCTTGATTTACTGTACTTCTCTATCAATAATGATAATCGAATTTTTTCATAATTCATGAATTTTTTTTAATATCATTAAAAGCGAAAAGCAAAATGATGTATCATCTGAACTTAATTGTGTTTTAATCAAACTTCAAAAAAATTATGGTAAAATTACCAGAATATCCTGGTCCTGATGGTCTTTGTCCTGCTCCAGGCCTCTGTCCATCATTGGAAGGTCTTGATGGACCTGAACCAGGTCTTGAACCATCTTCGGGAGTTGGATAGAGACCATTTGGTGGCCTGGGTCTTGAAGTTCCTCCACTAGGTCTGTTGCCGTTGCTTGGTCTCGAACCCCCATTGTCATTGCCAGGGAAGGGAATCGAAGGGCGATCGCTTGGGTATCCTTCATTTGATGGTCTTCCTCGATTAGGACCTACTGTAGTTCCACTTGATGGTCTCTGAGAACCTTGTCCAGAACTAGGTATCGTATTAGAGCTGGGATATCCCCCACTTGGTCCTCCACTTGGATAAGAACCTCCGTTTGAGGGTTGGTTTCCTGGTCTTTGAGTACCAGGGAATTCACTGCTTGGTCGACCCCCTAAAAAATTTTAAGCCAAAAATATTTATTTTAAATATCTGTTGAAAAAAAAAATTTATAATAGATTAAGTTTATTTTAAAAGATATGATTTACCTGGATACCCTCCATTGGTGGGACTTTGACCATTAAATCCAGGTCTTTGACCTCCACTGGGATAACTTCCAGTACTTCCTTGTCCGTTGCTTGGAAAGGATTCAGGCCTCCCTCTAGGATATCCGTTTTCTCCTCCTGGAAATGAGCCACCTGGTGATGAAGGTCTGTTTCCTCCTGAACCCGATGGAAACCCATTACTAGGACGGCCTCCTGGACCTTGTGGTTGATTCTCATTTGGAAGTGGGAAAGGAATGGAGGGTCTTTCATCGGGATATCCTTCCTCTTGTGTGTTTGTCGGCCTACCAGTTGGTCTCTGTTGGTTGTTACCCGACGGAAAACTGGCACCTCCTGAAGGGCGTTGGCCACCGGCTGGACCGCCAGATGGATACCCATTTCCTGCACTTGGTCGCTGACCATTTGAACCGCCTGACGGATAACCATTACCGTTCGAGGGTCTTTGGCCATTACCAGAAGGCCTGGAAGGAAATCCGTTACCAGTCGGTGCCGGTGTTCCTGAGAATCCTCCGGGTCTTGTACTGCCTGGAGATTGAGGTCCACTTGGTACACCATATTCTGTAGATGGTGTAGTTGGCGAACTACCCCCCGATGGTCTACCTGGAGTCAATGGATTGTTTGGCCGTGGATAGTCATAGCCTTCTTGAGCCTAATCAATAAAATTCATCAAATTTTTATATTCATGATGCAAAGTATACTTATCATTAAATTTATTTCAGAATTTATTATTAAAGTTCTGTAATCGATTTCAGTGATATAATTATGTACTCATACTAGTAAATTAGCGATCTCTTGAGAAATTCCAAAAAAATTGTAAATGTATTGTAATTGTAAATGTATTGTTCGTAACATTTCATTTACATTTTTATGGTAAGATATTTTCATTTTTAAGGGACTCGATTATGTAAAACGGAGTCTCTGGGCTAAGTGTGACAACAGAAACGCGTGCAAAAATATAAGCAAGCCACGATGCTCTATTCAATAGTATTTTGGTCACCGGCATATAGGTATGCATATTACATCACTTTAAGCGAGCATACAAGCGGCGTATGTGTGTATGTGTGTATAAAAACAACATATTGACGCCGCGATCGCACTCGCACGAGTGTCTGCGATCGATGCATGCGCCGGTGTGCCCATGCGCGATTGCAAAATGCGCCACCGAGAAGAATATGCGCACGCGGTGGCGCGGGAAGAATAGTCGAGTCTCAGATGACTGAAACTCAAAGTGGAACTTTTCGGCATTGACGATTGCTTCACACACAGAGAAAGCAGCATCTTCGGCTGAACGCGCGCGCGCACGTGACAGTTATAAAGCTTTATCAGTTCTTCATTCGGGCATAAATTCCGTTTGTTTGCAAAACGTGCTTAGGATTATTATCTAATATGAGAGTGTGTGTGTCTGTAATAAAGCTTCTAAATAACTACTTCGCGAGCAAGTGAGCGTAATATTATTATTTCACAGTCGCTATACTTGCCATCAACAGAAATAATTTATAATAAATCACGTTAACAATAAGTCCTTCTAACAGAAGCAATAAACATTACAAGCCCGAGTAACTGCATGTTTAATTGCTCGTCATATTACTAGTCTGCAGCTGCCGTTTCAAGCAAGTGTAACCGAAGACGCGTGCAATTACGCGCGAATGCGCAATTTAACAGAAATTTTTATAATTGTACATAAATAATGCTGCTCATGCAAAAAAGACTCACCAATGATGTACGAGAGATAGCCAGTACAGCTGAAACAAAAGAAATCCAAAAATAATAGATATATCTAACATGTTGTGTATAGTATGTATAACTGCTTATGTGCATTAAGCTTGTGTAAGATTTGTCTGCAAGAGAGAGAAGATATGTAAACCGAGTGATGTTTTACACCTGAAAAATTCGGCCCAACTCGACTAGCGCGCCAGGTGCCAGAAATCTCTGATGAAGTCATATGTGAGAAACAGGACTGACAATGCTCGCGCGTCCTTAATTAATTAACCGGGAAGTTATGTCAGAGATTTTTCAAATTATTTCGTTTCTATCGCCGCACGAAACGGAGAATTTCGCACGCGCTCGCTTCTTTTTCCCGAGCCTTATACACATACGAGCCTCACGAAGCATACCTATATACGTTATGAGCGAGCGCCGGTGCGTTTTTATAAACCGCAGCATCGGTATGCGTGTGATCTATTGCAAATTTTTTTCACTAGGCATTACTGGTCTATTTACCGAGGCTCTATTGAAGAGTGTCAGCGATGAGTAAACTAAAGCTGTTTATGATTATGTCTTAATTGATGGAAGGATCATTGTTATAATTTTGCCAAGAAAAAATAATGCATCTGTGCACTTAGATCTCATTATAAAACAATTTTAGTTCCATAATTTGAGGTGTGTGCTCGTTTTAAGTCAATTTTTTTCTAATTTAACTTAATGCTCCAGGTGTCAATGAAACCATATGTATAGAAAAAAAAAGAATTGAATCAAAAAGTTCTAAAATACTTATGTGACCTAGTTCGGGTCAAACCACAATGGAAATGAGAAAAAAAAAATTACTCAAGAAGATGTTCTTCACTTTCAAAGAAAAAAATATCAACGAATCTAGACGTACCAAACCCGTGACTTGATAAACTAAAAAAAATATCTGAAGTAGATTGAAGAGAGTGAAGTGGAAACGATACACCAAAACAGTTGCATCAGAAAGAGAGACACAACATTATAAGGAGCGAGAGAGAAAAGTCGCGGGAGCGAAAGAGTAGGTCTGCTGCATACACTTGACCTTCATTTCCGCAGTCGCATGCGCGCGCGCGCGCGAGCGTTCATCCTATCGGACCCAGCCGAAAGAGAAATAAATAAAGAAACCAACGACGAGCCTCCATATAACGAAACGCGTATGCACGGGTGTAAACCGATGGCACACGAAGGGGAGAGTCCGAAAAAAATTCCGAACGAACAATGGTTCCACCACACATAGACGCACATGCACACACCTCGGGCTCGTGTGCGTGAAACTTATCTTCTATTTATTTTAATTAGAAAGGAAGTTACGAAAAAGCTGCAGTGTGCCTGCTGCTTGCATATATAGGTGCGCGTCGTATCTTTATATGTATGTGTGTGTATGTACGCTAATCACCGTCGAAGCCGCTACTCGCATACTGCACACACACACGTTAGAGCGTGCGCAGGGTCCACGAAAATTTCGGTCTCGATTCTTCTTCTCGCCGCGAGCGCGAGCTAGGCGAGCGCAAGGTATGCAGTGATATTTACGCAATGGCACCTACACACAACGTGCGCGCCTAGTCGCGGGGGCCTTTTTTCGACAAAACACATACATTCGAGAGTGTGTACGAGCAGCCTGTGCGCACTCGCCGCTCGCTCTTTTCTACTCTTGTCTATGGCTTTTTTCCAACGATTAATGAGTACCGGTGGAAAGAGTGAATCTTCCTATAAAATCTGCTCATTGTTTTCAGAGAGGATAAGCGATTTTTTTCGAACTGAACCGTATATTTATTCACGCGAATTGCGAAGATCGGTATGCGCCCACGTTTTTCGGGAAATTTGGTCAGATTTCTGATAACGAATGTATTAGCTAAAAAAGTATGCTTTATACTGTAGAAAAACGATCATAATTCAATTCTGATACTTCTACGTGAATACTTAGAGTAGCAGATTAATTTCCCCAGATAGGAATGCTCAAAATTGATAATGGTATAATAACCAAAAATTACGATTGAAAATATTTTTTTTAAATACACATTTATATTAAAATTATGTTTAAAATTTGAAAAGTATTTTGAATGACCCGAAGACGACAATTTTTTTGTTTCAAAATATCTAGACCAGTTTTCAGTTATTTTAAATATGATAATACTGTCAGTCTCTACCACTAGATGGAGAAGATCTATATATGTAAATCTGCAAGTGGTGCAATAAAAGTAATTGTATAAGTCCACTTATTAGACATAAAGAGTTTCATAAAATGGGTTTCTCTATATTAATTCTAAAGTTTGTAAATATTTGTAAAGAAATGAACTACTTCCATTTCTATGAAAATTTAAAATAAAAATTGACTTTGCATTTTAAGAATTATTCTCACCCTCGTATCATATCTATCGTTGTATCATATACTATCAACGGCGCAAGAATAGAGACATTCTCCGACATGAAAAATCTGTCAGTTCGTAGATGCATTGAAACGACTCTCTTCAAAGAGAAGAAAAACAATATATCAACGCGCGTGATTATTTCCAAACACCAGCGGATCGACTCACACTTGAAAGCTTCTTTATATGCTTTAAGCCGTGTACGCGCGCGGTATATATCTAGGTGCAAGTAGTGTACCACCATCGAAGGCTGCGTGGGTTTGCAGAACAAAAAAATGAAGTTACATCTTTCATATATAGCACTCACTTAAGAGCCGATGTATTATGTACTCCTGCACGCGATCAGATAAAAAAAGGTTTATCGACATGCATCGCGCTATTAATATTACCAGTAGAGCTTCTTTACTTTTGCATTACTCGTATAGATGCGACTTTATAAATAGCACACACGGTATTTAAAATATTTTTCAGTCCTAATATCCCGATGATTCATTGCGCAATATTTAAAAAGACGGTATTTGACGGCATTTAAAAAAAGCCCAAACTTTTAATACGATTATTGTACTATTTAGCACCATATTACCCAACCGATCATCGAAATAATAATAAACGCATAATAAAAAATTGTCAAACACGCACTCGAGCAGGTTCGAGATCAGGCAGTGCAGTAGCAGCAGCAGCAGCTGCTGCTGCTCGCATCTACCAAAGAGTCTTATACTACACCGCGCGAGAATTGGCCAAGAATCGGCTGATGATGCTCGGAAAAATTATCATAGCCGCGCGACAGAAGCGAAGCTTTCTCTAATAGCTTATGCGATATTTGCTCATCACTCGTGCCGTACACAGACGAGTACGCTGCATATAATACACGTACGTACGTACGTATGACAATGATCGTATCGCGCAAGTTTGATTGTTTACTAATGTATATACGAGTGTGTATATGCAGCTCTCCCCGGCGTCGTGTATATAATCTAATATATGTATGGGCCGCGCTCGCCGATCATCTTTATGGAGATCTAGCCGTCTGTCTGTCGTCGCGACTTGATAGATCATACAATGGCAATAGTGCACGTAGCTAATAATCTATTATATAATTTTATCTCTTTCTCCTCTCGTTTCTCTCTTTCTCTCTCTCTCTCTCTCTCTCTCTCTCTCTCTCTCACCGACACAATAATACGTAAGTGGTTGTAAAGACACGAGATCGGCACAGGCTACAGCTAGCGCGAGTGTTGTAGACGATTGTCAGATCTTTCGAATCTCGCGCGCTGCCGCTATCCGATATCTCAATTATAATTGTTTTATTATTTTGAACGCGCGAGCGGCTCGCGTGTGTACAAACGTTACACAGATAAAAACTAGTTAATAGTAGACACGAGCGAAGATACACAAGCATAGATTTTAGACACACGCGCGCTTATGCAGATTGATTAATGGTTTCGTGTATCGCGCGAATTTGTTGGATTTGCATATAAGTGAGATATGAGCGCATTCTAATGTCATTTCTCCGAAGAAGCAATTTGCATTGCTTATAATGAAGGTGTTTCAACTCTTCTTTCTTTTTTTTCGAGCTCAAAGTGCGCTTTTCTACACCTTTACGCGTCTTTACTATTTCGCCTGAACCATTAATCATTCGTAAGCGTGCGTAATAAAGTATATGGGCAGAAGAGTATGGAAAAATGTGCTGGTACTCACCTATCCACAACAAACACAGCTTCATGTTTGTTGCTGGAGCTGCCTTTAACAGTTGTTAAATGCTGCAAAAGAAGAGAGAAGAACAACTTTTTTTGATTGCGGTTTAAACCTTACGAATGTCTCTCGACCGCGCGTTCATACTTTTCACCCGAAGTTCGCGATCGGATTATTATTATACAACTGCGTGCTTGATTGTCGGCATTGACAATCGTAACATCTTGTCGCTTGCAGGAGAGAAAAGCTATAATTTATTTAGTATAATAACGATGAGACAACTGTATCATCGTCTCTCGTACAGCGCGACAATCAGCCTTTAGTTTTGTCAATATTTATTTAGAAAAATTTATTGTATTTACTTTAATAAATTTTAGTACACAAAACAATGAAGACCAACAATGTTTGTCAAAGCCAATGGAGTTAATCCCGCGCGCGTTTTAAATATCTACTTCATACCGCCACTTGCGAAACGCAACAGTCGATTGGTTAAGAAAAAGAAGTGCTCATGAATTTTGTATTTCTATGCAGAAAATAGTGCTTGCGACGATCAATGTTATCTTTTCGACAGCAACATACATCTCTCTTTCTTTCTCGATGCTGCTGCTGCTCTTTTACAAGCACGCGCTCGAGAGTCGATTCGAGAAAAATTGCTTTCGTCGATACATTACATTGACCAACAATGCGTTTTTTTCCACTGTGTGTTTGTGTGTGTTTGTGTGTGTTTGTCGCCGAGTGAATTCTAATTTATAGTTGTAATTAGTATGAATTGAAGGATGTGCAATATTTTTTTTCACGAAGTTAAGTATGTTGTAATTCGTATAAGATGGTAAACTCGTATGAGGAAAATTAGATACAGCTCGTCTGAGATTAGATTGATCATTAATTATTCGATGATAAATGATAAAAGATATAAAATAATTTTTTAAATTGTCAATCTCTAGTAAAAACAAAAATCATGCAAAATAGATGTTCACAGATAAGGAAAAAATATGATCACTTTTCGAGAAAAAAAAATCACAGTCTCGATTTCCTCGCTCAAAAGTCAATAAAGCACTTGAAAATTTTACAAAAAAAAAAGCCAGAAAACAAGTCCATTCCTGCAAGCTCGCACAATCCGACGAGAACGACAACACTCACCCGATGAAACGATAAACTACAGTGGCTGTTTGCCCTCGGTTAAAAAATATTTCTGGTATTTTCTCGCTCGAAAAATGCTAGAATATTTTTAATATGAAAACTGGCCAAGCCAAGCCGAGGTGATTTTTTTTCTCGATACTGAAACTCTATATATAATTTCTTTATATATATAATAATATAATATAACACGGCTAACGATCTACAGCTGGCGAGCCAGACCGTTGACTGATTGTAGAAGGTGTCGTCGTGATCATATATAGGGCCCCGCGCTGTGGAGGCGCCTGGGAGGATGGCGTGTGCTGCGCGGCGCTACCACCCCACAGGTAGTAGTAGTAGCTACCTCTTCTTCTTCTCTTTTCTTTTCTTGGCTGTATGGCTTGTAACTTGGCCGCAACGCGCCGCGTATACCTTCCTTTGGGTACGACGACTGTCTCCTCCTCCGCACCACCACCTCCTCCAACTCCAACCGAAGTTTTGCTATATATTGTTGCCTTTGCTGCTGCTGCCGATCGTACAAGCTAAGCTATGTGTATATAGGTACACGTGTGAGTGTGTAAGTGCGATTCACGAGTGTGTGCAGGGATGATGACGATATATGGAATATAGCTCTCTCTCTCTCTCTTGCTCGCTTGTTGTAATCGTCCTTCGTCCTTCTCTTTTTGCCAAGCGAGTGCCGAGAGTGTGAGTGCAAGAACGAGAAAGAGTCAAGCTTCCACTAGTTGCATCCCTACCTTTTCTCGCGCTCTATCAGCACGTAAACGTACATATATACACGCTCTTTTTCACCTTTATTCACGTTTGTGTGGCGATCGTACTGTTAACCCATACGCAGACTCGAATGAGAGGTGTGTGCGTATACCCCTTCTCTATAGACTTTTTCGACCATTCGACCGCTCATAAATGTTCACTCACATATGAAAATTTCATAAAGCTCCACCTTTGAATAATTACAAAAGGTATGCCTAAACGTTTTTAATACAGCCTTCATGGTCTTGACAATAATGTCGTACAAAAATTAAAACTAGACATTTTTTTCTTTTCTCTTAAAACCGGAGTTTACATCCAAGACAAGATTCAATTATTGTTGCAAATCGATTAAAGCCGTTATTATACTGTTATTACTTAGGCACGCGTGAAAAGTGTACCTCGAGATAAACGCTGGTACGCTCTATTACAGCTTAAAAAGGAAAGCCAATCGAGAGCAGAAGACACACTCACAATAACTGACTCATCAGTTATTACGTGCATCTATATCGGGCGCATAGAGCAGCTCTCTCAAATCTTGGATCGTTGTGTTGCGAGTATAATTGAGACCGAAAAAAAAGAAGAAGCGCATCGACACGTGCTAGCATAATATAATTCGAGTTACGATGAATCCTAGGCGAAAAATTGCCCGCTCGTCGCGCCGGCGACCGTAATCTTATAAACGAAAGTATAATATAAAGAGTCTCTCTCTCTTTTACTCTCGGTTGTGTACGCTGTATATATATGCAAGTACCGTGTATCTACCTCGAGGCGATATAAGTGACCCATTGACGTAGGAGCCTCGCTGCTCGCTTGCTGGCAGAGAGCATTAGAAAGAGAAAAGAGACGCTGCTGCTGCTGCGCTGCAAGACGGTACATAAGAGATCTGCTGCTGCTGCAGTCTCGTAGCGGCTACGACGACGACGACGACGACGACGACGAGGGAAGGGAAGGGGAAAAATACAGGAGAATATTTGCAGTGCCTAGAGCGAGAGAGTGAAAAAGATAGAAGGACTCTCCTCGTGGGAGGTATATATCTAGGATATACAAACCAGTGAAAGTGCAAGTGGAATATAACATCTTCCCGCAATGTGAGTGAAGAAGTTGCCACTGAGATAATCAGCTGAGCTCCTGCCGCTGCTGATGACGCTATATCATGGTTCCTTGTATGCCTTTTGGCTTAACTGCAGCGCTTTGTAGGTTTGCCGAAGTACCTGGTCGAAACTACTCAATGATATAATTTTTCGGGAAGCATCGCGATTTATTAATTGATTAACCGATCGTCGAGTTGAAAAATTGAGCAACGTCGTTAAGTACTTCGAACACGACTATGCCATTTAGGATTGAAACAACAATAAGCGTTTCTCGCTGTACACCTAGTTGCTGTACGTCGTGTCATTTGATAGTGGCGCGCAGTAGGCACGTTAAAAAGATATAGAAGCTGCGATTGATTGGATCTTTTGTATTTATGCGCATATCTATGAACCAGCAGCAACGGCTCCGCCGTGTACCATGTGTACGAAACAACAAAGCTGTTTATCTTGTAATACACGATTGTAGACACGCCGTATAGAGTATTTATACAGCGTACCCAGCAACGGACAGGTGACGGGAGTGTCTCCTTCGCATCTCTGCAACGCGAGAGACGTTCAATACCATCAAGGATATAATATCGCATAGCTTTTATATTGGCCGCACAGAAGATACAAAAGGTTTAATTTCTGCCGTTCGATCTACTACAGCGGCGGCAAAGAAAAGTAATTTACCAAGCACGTCTCTCTAGGTGGGCAATTCTGATGAAAAAAACAGCTCTCCATAAGAGAAAAATGATAAATTTTAAAGCGGCGCGAATTTTAACGCAGTTTAATCTAACGATTAATTTTGATTCTACCTGCGTGAACCATAAATTAATAATTACGCGCGCTTTTTTCAATCAATATATTATTCGCGTCGGAGCTAGCCTGCGTAATGCGCGCCGTCTTAATGCATATAATAATATTATTATCTAAACGTGTTAATTGACCACGCAAGCTCGACTAGAATATAGTTTTCACCGCCCATCAATATATTCTAGGATAATGTAAAAAAGTTATTATGAAATTTCTTAAATAAGGAAATCAATCATGCGGCGCACAATGTGTTTTATCATCTTGTCGATGCAGCGCAGAAAGACATCAATGAAGAGCTAAGGCAGTAACTCACGAGAATTCAATCATTCATCAAAACTTTTTGTATAGCATTTCACAGTATCGAGTCGTCGCTGCTACAGCGTACTTGCAAATATCATAGAAAAACTTTAATACCGATATCTTTTTTCTTTATCGACTCTTTAGGTACTCGCGATTAGTCGGATTTGCATCTCCTTACGCGAGGATGCATCGAGATATACAAGCGACCCGCGAAGACACGATAAGCTAGTCACAGGAACTTTTGAATTACTCATTGAATGTATCTGAATTTGAAATCGCCCCCGCACATGTAAATACACAGTGAGTGCAACTTCCGCAAAAATCCCTTAAAAACTTTCTTCTGCCGCGATGTCGTAACTCTCTCTAGAGTTTCGCTCAATGGTATAATATGAATTTAAACTTTTTTTCGTACTACTCCTTCACGGTGGCTATATATGCAACTGTCGAGCACGGCGAACTTTGAAAGGGATGATTTCATGACGTGTGACACTCTAACTACATCTGGATTTCGCGGATATACGCTAAGTCGAGCAGCAGCAGCTACTGGTTGCTTATTAGATATTATGTGTGTGTGTGTGTGTGTGTGTGTGTGTGTGTGTGTGTGTGTGTGTGTGTGTGCGCAATGTGAATCTCGAGAACGGGATATTTTCAAGTCTGCGTCGAGTCGCGTCGCTCCCTGTACCTGCGCGCATATTACTGATGCTGTGCTACAATATTGCACTCATTTTGTGCGCGTCGTCGTTTTCGTCTGCGTTGCATATACATACAGCACCGGTTTATTTACGTATAGCGCATTTTTTGACACATGGGTATAATCAATGAAATAAGACGAAGATGATGATATTTCGTAAAGAGACTTTTTGCGCACGCGCTTATGTAACTAATATGCGCGAATATTAAGGCTCGCATGATTATTGCGTACACAAATATACACACACATGTAAGTATTATACACATT